AGGAGAGCTCCCACCAAAACCAGCACCAGTGGATTAGTGTAATCAGGGGAATGAAGAGTTGTTGAATGTACCATGGAGGAGAAATTATTCTCCCTAGCCTTTGTATCCAAGGTTTAACCCAGATCAGAGCTGAACCTTTGGGGATTGTGTCATCCTGTCCTGAGTGGACAAAGGTTTCAACAATCTGGTCTAATCTCATAGCTGACCCTGCTTTGAGCTGCAGGCTGGACTAGAGACACCCTGAGTTCTCTTGCCAAACTGAATTATTTGATGTCTCCAAGCCCACATCCTGTGCTCTCAGTCATTACTGTGCTTATTCATGGGTGCTAAAAAATAAAACAGTCTTCCAAATGCCATACCACATCTGCTTCTGATGCAAATCAGCTAAGCCAGGGCTCCACCTCCTTCCCTCATGGCATGGTCCTGCTCCCATAGCAATAAGTAGTAAATCACTCGCACTTGTGAGCCCACAGGGTTTTACGACCCTTAGGTTATCCTCTCATCTGCTGCAGACACCGAGATGTCACAGGATGTCTCACTGCCTCAGTACTCCCGCTCTGTGCACAGGAACTGGTGTTTGCACCTGGCTGCAGCATCTCTCCCAGAGCACACAGACCCAGTGTGGGAAGCAGCAAGAAACAGTCAAGTCCCCCACTCCTCCCAGTGACTGATTCCAGCAGCTCAAACACTCTCTCAGCTAAAAACATTGTGTGTGATTTTACATTTGAATTCATCTGGCTCAGATTTGCAGGCTCTGATGGTTGTTCTGAATTTCTCAGGAGGTTCCCAAGCCCTTTCCACCCAGCACTCCCCCTCTGCAGAGGTGCACCCAGCCTGTAAACAATTCACCTCTCCACCTCCTTTGCAGTAAACAAACCAGATTGAGCTATTGAGGTTTCTCACTGCAAAACATCTGCTCTAGCCCTTGAACCACTTTTTAGCATCTTTTCCCTTCCGATTTCTCAGCTTCCTTTCTAAATTTTGGAACCCAAATATAGACAGACCCTC